CTTACCAAATGTGGAGGAAAAACTCAAGATCAGCCCTTGAATCTCGAATTTCTAGAGAGAGAAAGTGAGAGAGGAAAGAGTTTGATCTTCTTGTGAAATGAGAGCAAATGAGAGAAGTGATGAGAGAGGATGAATAATCAGCACTCAAAAACGTGGGACATGGGGATAATTGAGTGGAAAAGACATTGATGTGACCTAGGTAAGGTGGGGGGGGGGGTGGCTGGTCATAGAGTGGGTGTGGGAGTGGTTGCTTGTGCTATAAGGTAAAGCAAAGTCAACACTCCACCTCTTTGTACTTTACCCACTTGCTTTTATTATTTAAATAAAGATTTCTATGAAAATATGATTAAATTGTGAATATTTGGGGTTTATTATGTTAAAATATGATTTTGGGTGAAAATCCCGCGTTAAAATAATTAAAAACGGGCCTTAAATGCAAAACTATGCGAAAACCGGGAAGAAAAGAGTTCTCAGCGAGACCTCTCGGTCCTAGGCCGAGGTTCGGTCCCTAGGCCGAGGCTCGGTCCACGCTGTGGTTGGAGTCGGAAACGAACAGAGGGAAAACGAAAGGGGCGAGTCGGACGCGAGAGCGATGGGCGAGGGTTCGGTCCGAAGGGTCATTGAGGTTCGGTTCGGGATAAGAGGCGAGAATGTCAGAACCGAACGTACTGTAGTGAATAGTAGTGAACAGTACCTTCGGTTCGGTTAGATGAACAGTACCTTCGGTTCGGCTTAGGAGGTTTCGGTTCGGCTCAGGAGGTTTCGGTTCTTGCTCTCGGTTTCGGTTCTTGCTCTCGGTTTCGGTTCTTACTCTCAGTTTCGGTTCCTCCTGGGCGAGGTTCGGCCCTGAGAGGACCTTCGGCTCAGGAGGTTTCGGTTCCTCTTGTTCTCAGTCCCTAAGAGGACCTTCGGGTCCTAAGAAGCTTCTCTCTTGGTTTCGGTTCCTAAAGCCTATTTTTCTCGTTTTCGCTCCGTTTTGAGCCGTTTTTGACCCGGTTAAGGGTCGGAATGACCCGAATGATTCCAAAAAGTTAAGGGAAACTTTTGAGAGAGATTTGGGAGAGATTTCTCACACTTGGAGAGATTTGGGAGAGATTTGACATTCTTGGAGAGATTTCTCATACAAGGAGATATTTGAGAGAGGTTTCACATACTTGGAGAGATTTGGGAGAGATTTGACATTATTGGAGAGATTTCTCATACAGAGAGATATTTGAGAGAGATTTCACATACTTGGAGAGATTTGGGAGAGATTTGACATAGAGAGAGATAGAGTGAAAACAATTGAGAGAGGTTCCGTGTGGGACAGTTGTGAGTGTCCGGCACCGTAATGCATGGTTCGTAAACCCTGTTAAGCCTTGTTTAAGGATCTTACACACTCCCGTTGAGTATGCATCATTGTTTTATCGGTTTGGCTCGCCACGTACTACAGTTTTTAGGTTAAAGAGATCTAGTTGTACGTACTTTTCGATTTATGTTCTCTTATTAGAATAGTGGGTTGTTTAGTAAATACTGAACGTAAGTCCAAGTACACAAGGGTCAGTTGAGCTGACCGGTTTGACTTGTTGACTTTATTTGACTTTGAATTGACCAGAATTTGACGGTTGTCACATCTTCCCAAATTGAACTCACCAAGACGTTACTCAAACCAGATGAATTCCTTACCTTATCTCCTCACCCACATCCCATTTGTATCCCACCTTCAACTTCACTAGAAAGCACAACCACCGATGATACTACTGTCATTCATCCCGACCCTATATCACCTTCACTACAACCTACCTCTCCCCTTCCTTCAAATTCACCAGAAACCTCTCCACATACTCCTAACCCTATATCACCTACTATCTCACCCTCTCAACACTCGAACCAAACACCACCCTCCCCATTAACTGCCTCTAACACACCACCTTCTACTCCTCATGCCACCTTCACTTCCTATCCAAACTCACAACCTGTACGCACCAGAAAGCGAAACTCCAAATACTTCAATGAATCATTCATCAACACTACCACCACCATTGAACCTAATACACACACTTAAGCTCTCAAAGACCCTGAGTGTCACAAAGCAATGGATCAAGAATTCAATGCACTTATGCAGAATGGAACATGAAAATTAGTACCAGGTGGCACCCATAATATGATTGTTTGTAAATGGGTTTTTCGAGTTAAACGAAACCTAGATGGTACAATTTCCAAGTACAAGGCTCGCTTGGTTGCAAAAGGCTATCTACAAAAGCATGGGAAAGACTATTTTGATACCTTTACTTCATGGGACTCTCCACGAGGACCTCTTCATGACTCAACCACCAGGGTTCACTCACCCTTAATTTCCCACACATGTTTGCAAACTCCGAAAACCCCTATATGGTCTGAAACAAGCTCCATGGGCATGGTACATTGAGTTGACATCATTCCTTCTTACTTGTGGTTTTCGAAAACCCTTAGCTTATGCATCCCTTTTTTTTTTATCTATAATCATAACAATATATTGTGCCTCTTTATGGTCTATGTTGATGACATAGTACTCACAGGCAACAATAATGTCTTTCTTGATCAATTCATTGGTACATTAGCTAGTCGTTTCTCCATCAAGGACTTGGTTCCTCTACACCATTTTCTTGGCATTGAAGTTATTCCTACTACCAATGGTTTATTCCTAACCCAACACCGTCATATCCTAGATCTCCTAACTCTGTTTCATATGGATGGTGCTAAAGAGGTGGCTACCGCCTACATTCTTCCATTATCTAACATAATCTCATGGAAACCAGCTTGCCAAAAATCTATTTCACGATCCTCCACTGAAGCATAATACAAAGCTCTAGCCAATGCAGCAGTAGAAGTTTCATGGGTTCAAAACTTACTCACCGATCTTGGCGTCAAACAGTTTGAATCGTCTACACTTTTTTTTGATAACACTGGAGCTACTTATATATGTGCCAATCCAGTTTATCATTCTCGCATGAAACATGTAGCCTTGGACTACCATTTTGTATGGGAAAAATTTGTTGATGGATCCTTGAAAGTTCTTCACATAAACTCTACTGATCAACTTGCAGATGCGCTCACCAAACCGCTCAGTCGCAGTCCCTTTCTTCGTTTATGTTCCAAGATTGGAGTCTCCGATGGATCCTCCATCTTGCATCGGCGTATTAAGAATCAAGACTAATATCAATCTAATATTTAATTTATATGTATAGATCCTATATTAGTGTCAACTCATATACAACTGTAAATAATTACCTAATATACCTCCTGAATAGTCTCTTGTATATATGTACAACTTGGCTATATATAGCCAATTTGTAAATCACTTTTGTACGCAATTGAATCAACACAAATTACAGAAATTCTTTTATCCTCTTTATCTTATATATGGACAAATCTGTGCTCTTAAATTTGGCAAGGTCTTTATCAACCTACAAGAGAAACATATGGCGTTTAATTCATAGATTTCACTATGTAAGCCTAACTACAAGTGATTATAAAGAATGGTAAATGTTACCTTTATTTTCTCCTCCCACCACCCAGGCGATGCATCTAATAAGCTTCTTATCCCATCGATTCCAGTTTCAAGCCTCATTAAAAGATCATAAAACTTCCAATCTTTTTTCAAGTTGTCTCATTTGTTTTTAATTTGTTTTGGAGTAAAGACTTTGCATGTTTCTTCCTGCACGTCTTTCTCTAAATGACCAAAGATTATTGAAATTAGTACCAGGTCTATGCCCCTTTTCTTATTCAGTCATGCACAATTTAATAAACATCATCGAAGTATCATTATGCCAAACAATTTTTGGTTTATTTTTTGTCTTTATTGTTTCACACTTAACAACATTTTGGTCCATTTTCTGAAAAATCCAATTCATAATCAATCAAAATTGCTTCACAATCATAAATCACAATAATCAAGACGATTCCCTTACTCCAATATTGAAGCTGAAATTATGAAGCAACAACACATTACATCAACCATGTAAAGTATCAGTTTCAAAGCAGGTTCAAAATCAGAAATCATAACAATCAATATGTTAAACAAATGCGAACTGTGCAGCAAATTGAGAATCTTCAACATCAGAAATCATATGATTTCAACAATCATTCAAAAAAAAAAAGTAAGGATGCAAATCAGCTTTAGCATCATATTCAACAATCAGATTCAACAGCCAATCACAAAAATAAGAATGCAAGGTGATGGAATGCGATTGCAAGTGCTTCAATCAATCAGATACAGAGTAAAAAAAATCGGTACCTGTTGCAATGTAAATCATGTGAATAGATAGAAGATAGAGAAAAAATTGGTATTATTACTCGATACATGAGTAGGCTCGAAATCAATTGCAAAAATGGAATCGATTAGCTGGAGTAACACCAGAAGATGGAATCAACAACAATTACAGGCGGTGGAAGAAAAGAAGATTGCAGATTCGAACTACATGCAGGTTTTGGGAGGCGATGTACCTTCAGGTTATGGTCGACGTTTGATAGCAACGATGAGGTTGTAGGTATTGGAGACTTTCACGATGATAAGGGTAAGTTAAAGGGTAGTTTCGTCTTTTATGTGTTTTGTAAACCTAATAAGTCATAAGTAGTTTTAAAAAGTTACAATTTGGGATTTCTATAAAACTCCTTTGCAAAAGCTTTATAAAAAATTGTTTTAAATGGTCTTTTATAATAGGGAAATTGTAAGAAAAGTACAATATGGTCAGAAAAATTATACCTTAGTCCAAAGATTTTTTTTTTTTTTTTGAAAATAAAAATCTTGATTATTTCATTTTGACTCAAATTTACAAATAAAATATTTTTTCTTTTAATAGGAAATGATATATTATCGTGTTTTTACAAATAATCGGGACTTTAATATTAAAAAAATTATTTGGACTAAAATGTAACTTTTCCAAAAATATTTGTACTTTTCAAAAAATTAATAAGTCATAATAAAATCTATATTTTTATGAATAATATATTTTTAAAATTTATATATAATAATATTGGTTTGATTAATGACAATTTTATATTGTTACATCCGTACTCTTGAGGTTGTTCTTTTTTATAATGGAAACTAAATTATTTTCTGGAACGATACGTGTTTTATAGGAAGTAGAGTATTTAATTGCCAGATGTTGCAGAGCATTTACTCCTGTGAAGCGGTGACGTAGCAGTTGTTTCCTCCAATCCACCTCTTTTCACTCATCTTTTTTATCGTAAATAAATTAAAAATCTGTAGTAGCAAGATAAACACGAGTTGCTTAACCAAAAGGTAATCCAACAGAGGAGTAAAGATGCAACCGACAGGCAGTGGCGGTGGTGGAGGACTATCCAGATTCCGGTCAGCTCCGGCGACATGGCTGGAAGCACTGCTAGAATCAGAAGAAGAAGATGTAATCATTGACCCACCAAAACCACCTCCACATCAGCAAGCTTCCATTGCAGGCACCCCCACCCCCTCCAGACCTACTTACGTTGATCCCAATATCTTCTTACCTAGCCGACAGAACAGCTCTCCCGCCGAATTCTTTTCTGAGATCAACAATCCTGATGCCTATCTCTCCAATTACGACGACTACCTCTCCTCGTCCTACCACAACGTTAAACCATCCAGGGCTGTCGATGTAGACGACCAACAACCCAAGTTCACCACACAGCTCGTCAGTTTATACATACATTTTTTCATTATTTAATACTGCAACTTGCTTATTATATATATAATATCAAATTAATTAAGACTGATTTTAAAACTTGGTTATTTAGAGCGGAGATCAGAGCGCGTTGTTGGATGTTGAGATGGATAAGCTTCTGGGGGATTCGGTGCCGTGTCGAGTACGAGCAAAGCGCGGATGTGCCACTCATCCTCGGAGTATCGCCGAGAGGGTAACCTTCTGTTCTGTTGTGTTCTGTTGTTAGGTTGTTTGAATTCGTAAATGGTGATTAGAGAGTAAACTGGTGAAACTAATTTGGGTTTTAAGGTTAGAAGGACTCGGATTAGTGACAGAATAAGGAAGCTCCAAGAACTGGTTCCGAATATGGATAAGGTAAATCTATTTCCGTCAGAACTTTCCTTTATTGGTAACTTGTTTAAATCTGTCAATCGAGACACTGTACTGCCTTTTCCCTGTATATCATGTACCGACTCCTACATGAGATGTGGAGCAGCCTTTCCTTTTCAATCCAAAATTTAGTTGGGTTCTGCTCCAGATTTTGATCTTGTACTTTTCTGTTTTTATCAATTGCTATAAGTTTATGCTCATGTTAAATGTTTTTGTTTTTAAGATGTCTGTTTATGAGATTAATCTAGTCTCAAAACACTTTGAAGCCTCTCCTTTAATTAAGAGGAATATAAAACTCAGAAGGTCTAATGTGAGATGGGTTTATGATGCAGCAAACCAATACGGCAGACATGCTAGAAGAGGCGGTTGAATACGTCAAGTTTCTGCAAAGACAGATTCAGGTATTATACATTGACGCCTCTAGCAGTCTTATTATGTTGCCTTGTTTACAACTATTATACAGGTATTATGCATTGTCATGCTCTTATTTGGGAGAATTAATCCTAGTCTCTGATTTTTTTTTTACCCAACACAGGATACAACAGAGTAACATGGTTTGTATATTGTGCTTGTTTGGACCAGACTAATAAAAATTTTAATTTTTTGTTCAGGAACAAGGTTGGATAAAGAGTCGTTCATGATCTCTCCTCTAGGCAAAAAGACGTGAATGCCATCTTCATACTTAGCTTATTATTTGGAAATAAACCTTAAAAACTTATCTAGTCCCGTCTTGTCATATCTCTTCTAACAAACGCAAACAAGTCTTGCGTATGTTGCATTGGACAGGACTAGATGAGGTTTTTAGGGCTATTTCGGATGAGGTAAGCATTCACATCTTTAAACAGACATGAGATCAAGGACGAGTCCCCATCCCACCTTGTTCTACCTTTTTGGGAGATGCAGAAAAATTGCAATTATTTTCCCATTGACATCCATCAGAGGCTGTAACAATCAGGGCATGTCAAGCATAGTAACTCTCTGTCATAATGTTCATAACAAATTAATGGAACCAGTTTAATATATAAACTTCAATCCCCCACCCCTTAAATGCAGGAACTAAAGGAGCACCGAGACAAATGCACATGTGTGGTTGACGATTGATAACAGAAAAGAAGCTAACCTTTTTTCGATCGTGGTTCAAGGGATCATAATGGAGGACTATGGTGCTTATTCCAAAATCTCAGATCAAATTATATTTTTCCTTTGTGAAACCAAGGAAATACCATGAGAAGTGAGTAAACTAGTCAGGGGGTATGTGTTGTTGGCCACTCTCACTTGTGTCATTAGTACCATCTGTTCTCCATTACACCTCTAGGATTTCCTTGCTAAATAGTAAACTTATCAATGGCTAATACTCTCACTTGTATACTTGCTCCTCCTAATTGCTTACTCTTCATGTTTTCTTGGGAACTATGTTATCTTTTAAAATGCTATGCCAAAATGAACCCTTTTGTCTTAAAATAACAATGTCCGTGTTTGATATATAACCAAATAGATACAAAAAAGTAGCACATACATACACCAACCAAAGTAGGACTTATATATAAAACAAATGCGAGTAAAAGAAAAATATTGAACTTCAAAGAAAGAAGACCGTGGAAACAAAACCAAACACTAAACAACAAAAGCCAACAAGAAGAAAATACTGACCATTGCACATGTAGATCGGCTGTGGGAGGTTCCGACAATGGAAGGGGGGTCAAAGGCTATTAAAAAAAATATCGATCTTTAGTGATGACGAACATGGCCGCCAAAGGTCAAAGATGTCGCCGCTAAAAGTACCAACTCCTAATGCTCTATGTCGCAATTAATGCTCTTCTTGCCACTATCGCTCTCCGTATTATTATTGAACATTAAAAATGCAGCAAAACGGTATAAATATAAAAATTTCTACGAAATATTAATTGTAGAAAAATAAGTCAAAACCTTAAAAGTTAATAATATGACGTCCAAAGTATTAACAAAAACACTAAGTGAAAGTTATGTTTTAATTTTAATGTAACATCCCGGAATTTGGTGGTATTTCCGAATCATCTCTTTTATTATTATTATTTTGTTATTTGTAGTCCTTGTATGATGTAGATCTTACCATACTAGCTTTATGGAACCATTTCTTATCCCAAAAGTTCCAAATTGGTGAATGTTATGTGGTGAATGCCATAAGTTGTTCTTTCAGACCCTAGAAAGGGTCCTAAGTGATAAAAATGATGCCTCAATGGTTGAATGTGTCTCATGCATGTAGTAGAAGAGTCTTAATGGATTTATACCATGTATTAAGGATTTTCTAGACGTCCAAAGTCTTAAAGTTCAAGACTATGGTTTTAGGGCACATTTGGTCAATGGATCTGAAGTTTGGGCTTAAGTGCTTAAGCAATTAAGCACTTATGAGAGTTTTCGTACAGACTCACGTACGCCCCGCGTAGAGAGCAGTAGGCCCCGCGTACCGATTCAATGGTCCCCTTTTCCAGTCAACGTTAGACGAAGTACACCCCACGTACCAGAGGAGTATGCCCCACGTACACCCTTTGTTGGGCTTTTGCGATTTGGGCCGGTTTGACTTGGGCCTTTATTGGACTTCTGAATAATAGTGTTTTGGGCCACCATGGAAATGGATCCTAGGGTGAGGCCCAATTATAGGGATTTGGGCCCAATTTGGGAATTGGGCCAATAATGGGTCTTGTATATGTGGACCTTTAGATCATGGATTTGGTATTGAGACTTTACCCAAATTAGAGAAAAGGCAAAATGGACTATATGGACCCTTGGTCAAGATTAATATCCCAAGTGTTGATTTAGTATTCATTATTTTGGATAGTTAGGGAGCTAATTATTCAGTTCAGATCGATATTACGAGGTGAGTTATCATCACTATACCCAAGGGTCTAAGGCACCAAAGCCGACCCTTTGAATTATTATTCGGATTTGTTGTTGTTGATATGTTAGATCGATATCTTGGTAGATAGGATGGTTATGTATACTGGTAGGAGATTACCTGTCATATGTGCACATGCTTGATTGGTAGTTGAGGGTATTCCATCTCGAGGATGATTGCACCCTAGTATGTTGTCTCTATAGACTATTATATGATTATCCGATATAGGTGCATATGTTTGATTGGTTGTGGGCATTCCAATCCGATGGTTCTGGGCGAGAGTATTCCATCCCGAGGATGATTGGACTCATAGTATGTGGGCATTCCAACCCGATGGTTGTGGGGCCGAGAGTATTCCATCCCGAGGATGATTGGACTCATAGCATGTGGGCATTCCAACCCGATGCTTGTGGGCCGACAGTATTCCATCTCGAGCTTGATTGGACTTACGTCGGCATTCCAACCCGATGGTTGTGAGATGAGAGTATTCCATCCCGATGATGATTGGACTAATAATATGTTGGCATTCCAACTCGATGGTTGAGGGCCTGGGGTATTCCAACTCGATGGTTGACTGGACCCATAGTATGTTGGCATTACAACCCGGAGGTTGAGGGCCTAGGTTATTCCAACCTGATGGTTGACTGGACCCATAGTATGTTGTTTGCTATTATATGTGTATGTTTGTATGTATGTGTATTTTGGGGGTAACTCACTAAGTCTTCGAGCTTACATTTATCAATTATTGTTTCAGGTACAGTGAATCACCGCGAGAAGGTGAAGACGTGACCGTACACTTCCTCACATGTTACGACTTGTTTTCTAGGATACTCTGATATGAACTATTTTGAAAACACTTTGTAATAATTAATGATTTTGTAAACAATTTTTATACTTGGGTTGGTTTTGAAAAGTTCAAATTTTTTTAGAATTTTATGGATGTTACATTTAACTAAACATTACATAAATCCTACAAGTATCTATATTGTGACTACCCGAAATTTCTATCTTGTAAAGTCAATCAAATAAATCAACAGTCAGACATGTTTTTGTCACCTTTTAGCCCTGTTAAGGGTCTGTTTGAGAGTTTCAAAGAATAGAGTGATGTATGAACGGGTGTTAGGATGTGTTAGCTTGAGATCGGAGGAATTGATTTGAAACAGAAAACCCCTCACAAGGTGTTCACGGCCGCAAACTAGGTTGACGGCCGTGAACCACCTCTTATATATATAAGAGTGACCCTCTTTCTCCTCACTTCTCCTCCTCCCAACCATGAACATCCCCATTCTCTCTCAAATAGCTTCGACCATGAACCCTCTAAAGCTCCAAAAACGTAATTGTTTCATCCTAAAACTTGCTATACTTGAAAGATTACTAAATCCTAGCCTTGATTCTTCATGATTTATCACCATCTTCATGAACTTGAAGGGATCACGACCGTGAACCCTTCATAGGTTCATTGGACCGTGAACACCTCATGAGGCCGTGAACCTCATGAGTCCATGAACTCTATAAGGCCGCAAACCCATCTTTGGGTGGCCGTGAACCCCTTCTAAGCTTCTATTTACGAGCCTAACACTTCATTTAGGGTGTTTCCTACAACCTTAGGTAGTTCCCTATACTAGTTAGTAGATATAAACACTAATTGAATACACATATTTGTGATTACATGCCTTATAGGATCCAACAGTGCTTCAGGACTTCCTTTGTGAACTCAAGCATCCTATATCTGTCTTACTTTCCAGATCACTCACAATCAGCTGAGTTCATACCCCTGCAATCAACCTTTTAACTATTTTAAATGCTTTTTAGGGGGGGAATACAAGTCGAACACAATTGTAATTCTATTAGTATAAACATTTACATGCTATTAAATATCTTGTTTCAAACCGTTATTAACTACTTTTACAACACTGTTAAACTTCCTTTTAAAACCCTTTTCAAAACTCTTGTAAACTCTTTTAAACACTTTTAAACTCTTTACTTTTAAAACTATATGCATGCAGATATTAGTGTATAAGTATACTTTAATGGGCTTAGGACTATTGTTAATAACCTTGACACCTATTCCTTGTTTGGTTGTGGGCTTAGGGTAGTATGCACTAGTCCGACTGTCAATTAATGTATGATTATATTTGCTAGATGCATACATGAAAATTAAATCTTATTTTCAAGTTACACATAACTCAATTGTATATGTTTACAAAGTCAGATACAAAACAAACCTACTAGTAAACTATAATAGGTATAGTTTAGAGAACATATACATATACAAGTACAGCGAAGAGAACATATACATATACATATACAAGTATAGATAAGAGATCATATACATATCCATATACAAGTACAGAGAAAGAACATATGCATATACATACACATATACATATACAAGTACAGAGAAGAGAACATATACATATACATATACTAGTACATAGAAGAGAACATATACATATACATATACAAGTACAGAGAAGAGAACATATACATATACATATAGAAGTACAGAGGAGACAACATATACATATACATATACAGGAACATTAACAGAAAGTACAAGCATACTATAACATGTACATGATAACTAGAATGTGAGATACTACTTCATGGCATGGATTACACTGTTGTGCCACGTTTTATAACCAGAGACTCCTGGAGGGAGAGCGTGAGTTTGAGTATAGATCTATACGGGATTGACCATCCCACACCTCACTGCTAGCTACAGTGGGACTTGCATGTTCACGGGTGATCAAATGTCATACCACTTCGGCGTCCGAATAGAGGCGTGTAGTATACTAGGTCGATCAAGTATGGTTATAATCACTTCACATTTCAACCTTAATTAACCAATCTGGTTTAAAGGAAATAAGACTCTCCAATGCGTATGGTACATTTAATACGACTAAGAGTCTTCATTTTTCGATTTCTTTATACAATGATAGTACCATTGGGTTAAAACATACTATTTTCCTAGTAAAGGATAATAATAATATGGAAAACATACTTTTATACAAATTAAAGTACAAACTCTCCATTTTACACTGTTATATAAGAACAAACACACAAACAGTTGGGTCTCGGGTAAGAGACTGCATCTCATTTAAAAGGAGAAAATATAGGATTTTCTAACAAAGATACGAACTATTTTACTATACAAACCTAAACATTTTACAACACAAGTTTAAGAAAATGACACTAAATACTTATGAACTCACCACCATTTATGGTGATACTCTCATTCAAAATAACTTGTATTCTCAGGGAACCAGTAGACAGGGACACCCATGCAACTTTTGAGAAGATGGAGTGGATTCCAGACTCGTCATATTTTTTATTACACATTTTTGGTGTCATTTAAACTTTATCAAAGAACACACATGTAATTAACTATTCTATTTAATGCAATGGATGTTGTTGGTTGTTTTACTATTATGCTTTGTTATGATACTGTACATGACGTCCTCCACCCCCGAATGTTTCCGCCAATTCGGTTTGGGGGTGTGATAGATTGGTATGAGAGCATTGTTTATAGTGAATAGAGTATGTCAACCCATAAAAGATATACACCTATAAA